ACAGTCAGATTTCCTTTTTGGACCGGAGGTGTGTTCCAATAATTGTTTTGGTAAAACATCTGTACAGCATTATTCGCTATGAAAAGTGAACGCACCTTTTCTCTGTTGGCTCCTGGAGAGCAATATTTTCTTTTCTTCTTTCTTATTTTTCATTTCTTATAGGAAAATCATGCCTAGATATAGGAGAGTGGTAAGAAAAGTATACTGTGGATTGAGTGATTCAAATGAAGGAGTTTCATTCTGATGCTAACTATGCTTTGAGGGTATTAAACGACGTTATTTTGAAGGGATGTTTTTGTGGCATTTAGGTTCACTGACATATGCTTCCTGCTAATTATCTGGTTTAGTGAACATGTGTTTTGAGGGTTGGGTCACTTTTATAACTTGTCCCCACTACCCCTTCACTGGTTTCCTTCTTGGTTGTGTTGCTTATTTATGATATCGTATTCAGACAGTCGTCACCGGAGCTTAGTCGATATTTGTAGTGGATCGGTTTTTGAGAACTTAAAAAGGAGACAAGAGGACTTATTTTTTTCATTAAGTCGATCGTGTTATGTTCTGGCATTTAGCTCTTAAATATTCTTAATTCTTAATGCAATGACATGACACAGGATCATTATTTCTATTATTCCCATTCATCCAAATCTTATCTTTACACTTCTTTCTTTCTTTTTTATTGTTTTTAAATGTTACTCTTTTTCGATAAATCTATGGGCTAGTCCAGCCTAAATGATGAGACAAGCGGCCAATTGTGGTCGCCCAGCTGTCATGGTCAATGGATTGAAGGTTATAAATTGGTTTACAATTTTACTTGTTTAGTGTTGATTTGGAAATGCTCAATACCGTCATCTTGAATGAATCACTGTCTGAGCAATTTTGTTGACATGTGACCACCAAGAAAACCAAAAACAGAAAATTTACTCAATCATGTGGTGTTGTTGGGATGTAGGCATATATGATATTGCCCTCACCTGCATATCTTACCTACTCACTCCCTCAGTGTTCTGTTGGGGAAACATGCGAATACTGGGAACCATTGTACAAGAGGGGCTCATTCAAGCAATTCATCGAACTCCTTGTGCTTCTGCTTTGAGTGTCACTCAGATCCATCTCAAATTCAAATTCCTGTCCACCCATACAGCAGAAATTTTTCCTGAAGACAATTCCAAAACCCTAGATAACCCTAGGTGCTTATCTTACAGAATTGAGAAACTCTCCAAAGGAGAATCAGTTGGGTCTGTTTTCCAGAGATGGATGGGAGATGGGTTCCCTATTCACAGAGGGGACATTTTTCATGCCATTAATCGTCTACGGAAGCTCAAGATGAACAAACGTGCACTTGAGGTGACATCCCTTATTCCTTTGTATTTTTGCTGTCTGTGACTACTAGATTTGCTGTTGCGCTTTATTTGGTAGCTCTAGTTTTTAATTTAATTTTACTTTGATAGGTGTTTAAGTCAGGGGAAAGCCTCACTATGAACGATTTCATTTTAATTTATTGGATTTCGAACCTATCATTTTGATAGGAGAGCAAAGGGTACTTTCCGTCTCAGGAGGTTGCGTATACTGTTACTGTATGGATTGAAGCAGAATATGATAAAGCTAGTAAAGAGTGTTCAAATGGTGAAAGAACTTAGTAGTCTTGAAAAATGAAGAATTTACACTTATGTACTGACTCCATTGTTTGATACTTTTAGCTTTAGTTGATTTAAGATGCTGATAAAGATAGGTGCTCCCTTTTTCCCCCATTGCATGGCTAATGATAGGTGATGGAATGGGTGATCAGAGAAAGACCTTACAGGCCCAGGGAACTAGATTACTCTTATCTCTTGGAATTTACAACAAAGCTTCATGGAATATCACATGGCGAGAAGCTCTTCTCTCGTATTCCTCCTGAATATCATAATGAGTTGCTCTACAACAATCTAGTGATTGCGTGCTTGGACAAGGGGGTGATTAGGCTTTCACTTGAGTACATGAAAAAAATGAGGGAATTATGTTATCCCATCTCACACTTGGCATTCAACCGCCTTATAATTTTACACTCCTCACCGAGCCGCAGGAAAATGATCCCAAAAATACTTGCTCAAATGAGATCTGATAAGGTTACCCCTCATGTTTCCACCTACAATATTCTGATGAAAATAGAAGCTAATGAGCATAATATTGAAGGTTTGGTGAAGGTCTTCAGTCAAATGAACCAAGCAAAGGTTGAACCAAATGAAATATCTTATTGCATTTTAGCTACTGCACATGCAGTGGCTAGGTTATATACTGCAGCAGAAGCATATGTTGAAGCTGTTGAGAAGTCGGCCACAGGGAAGAACTGGTCAACATTGGATGTGCTACTTATATTGTATGGGTATTTGGGGAAGCAGAAGGAGCTAGAGAGGACCTGGGGCATCATTCAAGAACAACCATTGGTTAGATCTAAAAGTTATATGTTGGCCATTGAAGCATTTGGTAGAATTGGAAATCTAAATCGAGTTGAAGAACTGTGGTTAGAAATGAAGTCAAGAAAAGGATTGAAGTCTATAGAGCAATTCAATTGCATGATGTCTGTATTTTGCAAACACGGATTTATTGATAAAGCTACTAGACTTTACAAGTGTATTGAAGCAAATGGATGCAAACCAAATGCCATAACTTATCGTCAGCTTGTTTTGGCTGCTCGAAAGCAGGGATCACGGAGCAAGCCTTGAAGACATTAGAGTTGGGCATGCGTTTCACAGTTAGCAAGAAAGTCAGAAGTTCAACTCCCTGGCTAGAAACCACTCTCTTTCAATTATGATATTTTTGCTGAGAAAGGTGATGTAAGAAATGTTGAGAGATTGTTTGAAGAACTTCATAAGGCTAGGTACTGTAGATACACATTTGTATATAATACCTTGATTAAGGCTTATGTAAGAGCCAGGATTTATGAACCAAATCTTTTGAGAAGGATGATTCTTGGAGGAGCTAGGCCAGATTCTGAAACTTATAGTCTTATGAAACTTGCGGATCAGTTCCGACCCTGATTTTTATGTATCCTTTTGCGAGTTCTGTGTGTCCTTCTGTTGTCTATCTACTACAAATTAAGCCCATTATTGATCACGATAAGGTGGAAGCGACATTGTCAAATGATGCCACTGCTGCAAAGACTGCTCTTTTTGTTTGCAGTTTGCATTTGCCTCTGACGAGATGCTGAAAGAATTACATGTTGATTCCAAGTTGGGCTTCCCCCATATTACTATAAAAATAGTGATGTTCTAAAGGCTCATTTTGCTTCTTCTGATTCGCATTTTTTTTCTCCCTAAAATTGCTTAGATACAGTCTACCTCATTTAGTTTTATTTGTTTGTTTGTAGCGAATTGATATTCGAAGCCGTAATATTGAGAAGATTAATTTATAATTAATAAAAGAACAAGTGATAAATTCTTAATTCTTCAATTGTTTGCGACAGTATTTTAAATTTGAGAACGCCCCTGAAAGTTATCCAAACTGCCTCTGCTAGGGCCTTGAATAATCAGTACCTCCATTAGGTACTGAAAGAAAGAATTGAAATTATTAAATCTCAAATCAGATTTGATAATAATATTTTAATAAGTTTTGACAATACTAAACTTGTAAATAAAAATATATTTATGTGAAAAATTTTATTTAAAATTTAGTAATTTTAAGTTTTTTTTGTGAAATTCTCCCGCCAAAAAGATAGAATTCGAAGCCTATACTGGTTCAATAATTATTCTCCATCTTTGGTACCGTCTAAAAGCAAACCATCTTTAGTAAGTTAACTCCTTATCTTGTTCCCATTAGTAGCTTCATGCTGTAAAGCAGAGTAGAGAGATTCATGCTTCTCCTTTCTTCAAGTTTTCCAATTGTTTCAGATCCCGCTGAGGCATGCTCTGATCCCCATTAAGCTACTTATCCTCTCATTTAGGTGTTCTAATATTGTCTTCTAAAAGTCGTGTTTGTGTTGCATCCAAGAAATTGTTGCACCTGTGATCATACTTTCATTTCTTATCTTTTGCATATCAATTATGGGCTTATTTGCATTTGTTTATTTTAATTCTTGTAAATATTTTTACGTAAGTCGAGACAAAAACTTTTTACATATTATATATTTATTTTATATTTTACAAATCATAATTGAAAAGTTATTTCTCAACCTACCTACGTCAATCCCAAACAAACCATATGACTGTTTAATCATTCTCAATCTCACCAGCAACAAAAGGAATTTGTTTATCCTCATTCTCGATATGATGTACTGTCTTCTTCTTGTTCCGTAAATGGTGACCAACACTTTTTAATTATAGAAATGGAAAACAGGGATCACATGAATGTTTGTACAGTTACTGAGTATGTGTTAAAGCCACCACAAACTCATGTTTACAAAAGAAGTAAATATAGGAAGGAATTTATTTTAATTTATGAAAAAATACTTTTAAAAAACATTTCTAGGAATATCCAAATACCCCTAAAACACAGTTGCTTTTCAGTAAAAAAAAAAAGAGTTGCTGCTTCTGCGTTTTGTTCTTTTTGAACGTGATTTGCAGTGGCAGGCAAAGGCTTCTTGCATCCCAATTACTTGAAAACACTCATCTTCAAAGAATTCGGGAATAGACGAAACTTCGGTAACCGCATGCTATGCTTGAGTAGACCACTCATTAGTCCAAGAGTTTGCTTAATTGGATAAAAAATACTATGTCTGTCTTAATTATAAGATTTATTTATAATATACAAATAACGTTTTTAATTAGGAACAGAAGTAGTAGTATTAAGAAAAACAAATGTACACAAATTTAAAATTAAAAAAAAATTTTGTAAAGCAAATTTTTTGTTAATTAGCTAATCCTCAAAAAGTTTTGTGAAATTTGGTTAAAAATAAGTGAAATAGACCCCCCCCCCCCCCCACAGGCGGATGATCAAATTACGCGGTTTTTTTTTTTTTTGGTCCTCGAACTAATTCACCGGCATGGCAAAGTTCTCCTGGTCAGCTGGACTCTTCTTTCCCGAACTAAAACTGCCGTCATTCGGAGGCGGTGGTTCCGCTCGCCTGCTCCGACGTCTGAAGACCGCAAAAACTACTGCTGAAGCATCCAACAACCAGGGCACAGCCTTTCGGTTTTCGCTTCATCGACTTCTTCATACTAATACAGTGAGTAGTTTTTTGTCCCCTCCGGTTCTGCTTAATAAAAAACAATAAACGAAATGGATTGATGATTATCTGTAATGGGGTTGAGTAAAATCTGATTTCTACCTGCTGGAGCTTAGTTTATTACTCAGGAGGAAAGTGTTGTGTCAATGAGAATGACTAGAAATTGTTTTCTGAAATGAACGTGGATTTCGGTATTGTATTTGCTGCTCCTATTAGCTTATCCTCGCCGCTATGTAGTATAGATATATGACGCAATGAGGATTCTGCTCTTTTTCTTATTAATTTTACTTAATTTTATTTTTTAACTACATCAGACAGTTTCACTGTCAAGCGTTAAAATTGAATCTGTAATGGGGTTGAGTAAAATCTGATTTCTACCTGCTGGAGCTTAGTTTATTACTCAGGAGGAAAGTGTGTGTCAATGAGAATGACTAGAAATTGTTTTCTGAAATGAACGTGGATTTCGGTATTGTATTTGCTGCTCTATTAGCTTATCCTCGCCGCTATGTAGTATAGATATGACGCAATGAGGATTCTGCTCTTTTTCTTATTAATTTTACTTAATTTTATTTTTTAACTACATCAGACAGTTTCACTGTCAAGCGTTAAAATTGATTATTGAGGCATAATTCAGATGTAACTATCAAAGTTGAACAGTCTGTCTTTTTTATTTGTTCGGAAGATTAAATTTAAATTCTGAATGTGGATGCATCATGATCAGATGAATCTTCTACTGCCATTCATGACAAAATCAGCTTTGCACTCTACATGCTCGAGAAAATTCTGCAATGAGAAATTTCTTGAAAAGTGTTTTCTTTTTAGGATAATTTAATGGATGACTTGCCTGATTTTGATTTAATGTCCATTTTCTGACTGCTTTTCCATTTTGTGGCATTTCTTTTTGAAGGCTTTAATCTTCAAAGAGGAGTATAATCGAATGAGCAGGTGCTCAGACTTAAGAAGCTGCTGCTTTGTCGAAGACAATGATATATTGACAAACAAGTGAACAGATACAGATGTTGGTATTCCGGCCAAGATCCCTTAAATATATAGAATCTTTCACGAAAACTTCTACATCCAGATGGCCATTTACACCTCATTTTTATTGCTCGGATGCTCCTTGCAAGAAATCCAAACTTGCTCCTCTGCAGGTTGATCATCTCCTCTTTTGCTATCACTTGCTGACAATATAATATAATGCATAAAAAGTTTGGACATTTACGATTTCTTTCTGTTTCTGAGAAATGCATTCGATTTGGGGTCTTCATTTGCAGGAGAGAAGAATGATAGATAGGTTTAAGATATTTGCTAAAGGAGGTGATGGTGGTAATGGGTGCTCCAGCTTCCGGCGGAGTCGCCATGATCATCAAGGCAGACCTGATGGTGCGCCTTTTTTTTTTTTTTTTTTTTGGGAAAAAATTATATATATCTATATATTATTTTTCGTCGTTTCAATTCTCTGTTCCATTTTGTTCATGAAATACTTATGGTTTTTCAATGTTATCCATTGTTAAATGTAATTATTCAGTGGGTAGAAATATACTATCCATAATATTGTCAGATTAAAGTTAAGAAATTTGAGTGAACCAAATGGCAGAGAGCTCGTGACGTTTCTACTTATATGTGTGTGTTTAATATAGGAGGAAATGTGGGGAGAGGAGGTGATGTGATTTTGGAATGCTCCCCCAGAGTTTGGGACTTCAGTGGCTTGCAGCATCACCTGGTATGCACAGATATCATCTACCAACCTCTATGAAGTGATCGAATTTCTAATGTTTGAAATACTAGTGACAGTGATTTTGATGAGCAGATAGCAGAGAGAGGTGGACAAGGAGCATCAAAGAATATGATAGGAACCAGAGGCACTGATAAAGTAATTGAGCTCACCTTATTCTTTCTGCTAATTGTTTCAGGACTATCGTTTTCTTTTCTTTTTATGCTCTCGTGTTTTGCCTATGTGCAATGCAGAATTGATGGATTCTCTCAAAAACTACATTATTTTTGTTAGGTTGTCCATGTACCAGTTGGCACTGTGCTTCATCTTGTCAAAGGTGGAGAAGAAGAGATTCTATACAATGTAGCTGAATTAACGGAAGAGGGTCAACAAATTATTATTGCTCGTGGAGGTGAGGGTGGTCCGGGAAACATTTCTGCTTCCAAAGATTCAAGAAAGTCCATGACGGTTAAGGCAGCCGGTAAAGACAGAGCGTCCAATCTCCAGGATTGTGATGGTGGTAGATCATCCCATAGTGCTGGTTTGCCTGGTTCTGAGACAGTTCTCATATTAGAACTCAAGAGTATTGCTGATGTGAGCTTTGTGGGAATGCCTAATGCTGGTAAAAGCACTCTACTTGGAGCCATATCAAGGGCTAAACCTACTGTTGGTCATTATGCCTTCACAACCCTGAGGCCTAACCTAGGGAATCTGAACTATGATGACTTATCAGTAACAGTGGCTGATATACCAGGACTCATAAAGGGTGCTCACCAAAATCGCGGCCTTGGACACGCATTTTTGCGCCACATAGAACGCACAAAGGTTCTGGCTTATGTAGTAGACTTGGCTGCTGCTTTAGATGGAAGAAAAGGAATTCCACCATGGGAACAGTTGAAAGATTTGATTTTGGAGCTCGAGTACCATCAGGAAGGTTTATCCGATAGGCCATCATTGGTAGTAGCAAACAAGATTGATGAGGAAGGGGGCAGAGGAAGTGTATGAAGAGCTGCAGAGAAGAGTGCAAGGTGTTCCCATATTTCCTGTTTGTGCCGTCTTGGAGGAAGGAATACCAGAGCTTAAAACTGGCCTTAGGATGCTTGTCAATGGTGAAAAGTCATGCAAGCTTTGCTTAGATCAAATTTTGCTCCATTAGATGGTTACAATTTTTTTTTTCCCAAAAAAGAACTCGTTACAGCTATTGGTGGGAACTTGTCTGTGTAACTAGAGTTTAGCATGGCCTTTTTTTTTTTTCCTCTTGGATGGTCCCGTCCTCTTCTGGTGGCACTTGGTTCTTCTCCGTTCAACCAAACGCAGGGTCTTTAGTGTTACCATTTGCATTTATATACATTATTAGATTTTTTGACATAGACATGTGTTTTTGGCCGACTCTGTCACTAACGTTTGGCGAGCATCAGCTCTGACTCGTCACAAAATTACTTTTTGAACGCAAAAACAAATACATCATGGTGTTCGATGCCCACTAGAGACATAGCATTTATACAAGAGCAAGATGCGAATAATCATGACATGTGCTGTTTCCAAGTAAAAACAGGAGAGGAAGAAGCATAGCTGACAATTATTTGGAAGCCTTAGTGTTTGGCTTAAGCAGAAGCAGGTAGAATATAAAACAAAAATCAATCAGGTAAGGTAATTTATGAATTCTGCAGCTGTAGCAATGGCTGCCCCTGTAATGGCACATCACAATCCTGTCTTTCTTATTGTTGCCCGCTGCTGATACTACCGCCCCGGTCATTGCACCCCCAATCATTGCATTCTTCTGTTTTACACCCATATTCCAATGAAAATAAAATGATTTAAGATCAGAATCTCAAGTAGCTAAAAACAGAAAGTTTTTAAAGACAACAAGGCACCCATGATGGATGTCTGAGTCCTGAAGGATATGGTGGTGCCAAATCTGGCCTGAGAGCACATAATATGTTAGAAACTTAATAATAGAGATACTCATGCTTAATATGGATCATGGAAGAAATATATAATATTCTCAAGTGTCGTGCTAATGTCTATTTTAAATTATGGATGCTTCATAACACACTGGATCTCTATTATTAAAATCGTTATGCTAGAGGTGTGTCAGAAATGTTTGGCTATGTAGAGAACTTACCCAGTCCCTGGTGCCACGGATCCTCTCTACCCCATACTCGGTTCCAACATATAAACCAGCTACTGCTCCTGTTAGAGAGGGGGGTAGGGGGAAAGTTCTTAGTAAAATGACCATGATAGATTTAACCTAAGCCATGCACGCAACACAAGTCTTACCCCAATATGCACCTTCTTTACACATCTATATAAACCAGCTACTGCTCCTGTTAGAGAGGGGGGTAGGGGGAAAGTTCTTAGTAAAATGACCATGATAGATTTAACCTAAGCCATGCACGCAACACAAGTCTTACCCCAATATGCACCTTCTTTACACATCTTCTTCAGCTGCAATAATACTCTTCAATGAGCACAACATGTTGAATGAAATGTAAATGTATACTATCAATGGGCTCGGCGTCAATGATATTAGAGCCTTTAGGACTGAGGGATTTGAGTTTCAATCCGAAAATCAAAATATACCCAAAAAGGTCAATGTTCCTTACTCCCTTCTTGTCTATATAAGACAAATCTCTAGAACTTTTTGCTTTTAAGGCTAGCGCCTTCATCTTTTTGTTACTCATCCCGACTATTCTTTTTCAGAAGGACTAAAGCGGAAGCATAATGGATAAGTAAGATTGACTCAAACATTCTCATTTACAAAATTTGTATTGCTTTAAACTTTAGCCTCAAAGCATCGTAATGCATTTTAAAAAAGGAAGCCTTCGCAAAGGAAAGGAACAACCAGAACTTACTCCAGATAGAAAAAAGAACTTACCATGTCCTCAAAATTGTGACGGGAAACATTTCCTGGAAGAAGATGGTTTGTTAGTCTTAAAAAAAATTAAAAAAAAAAAAAAAAAAAACTTCAAAGTGAAATGGCCCGAAAGAGAGCTGGAAGAGCCGAGAACGCAAGCAAGTTTTAAAAGATATCATTTCCAAGACAAGTAAGCATCGAACTCGTGTCAGTTCATGGAAGATATCATATAATTAATTAAAACGCCAACCTTAAATCAAAAGAAAGAAAACCTCAATCTGAAAATGCTTCTATGAGAGAACTTTAGATCACGCAATAAATAAATAAGTACAGTAATAAGAGGAATGGAGAGATGAATGACCCTTTCTAAGAATGTGATAGGTATCCTCAGCAGCCGACCTGGTCGCGGCGACCTGAAACAGAAAAACAAAACGGTGACATTAGTGTCCTTCGAATTGAAAGCCGAAAAGGGTAAAAATTGAGAAGTGTTTACAGTTCCGATCTTCAAGAAACCATCGAGGGTGAGATTCAAGAATGGATTGCCCATGTCGATTGCTACGTCCACCTTTGGTGATGATATTGACCCTGAAAGTCTACTCCAAGGCATTTTCCCCTTTCCGCTCTGATCACTCTCACTCCGACTTTCTAAGCTTCGAAGTTTCAATCTTACTTTTGCTTATACTTGTATTCGATCGATACATTCATCAAACGAAGCTTTCACTTGAAGTTGCTTAAATGTGATCAACGAAGTAATAATTGATTATTTAATTTCATGATTTTCCCCTTTCTTCTTTCTTCTGTTATTTTCCGACGATTTTTGGCCGAAGAGCGAAAACAGATACGTCAGGATAAGATTTCGCAAGGCCAATGGCCACAAGGATATATGGTGACCCAAAGTCCAAAAGCTAAAAGGGCAACTTGTTATTTTCATTTCATGTCTTTCCCTGTAAGGCTAGAACTTCACGGAAAGGCTTGTGTGGTCACGATCTTATTCGTGATCCAAGATCTTTAAAATTACTTTAATTTAATATGCATTAATTTTTAAGTAAAACGTATATAATATTTCTTTAATTTAGATCAATTATGTAAGATCACTCATTATAATGTCATTTTTTTTTTTTTTTTTGGTTTTCATCAGGGTATCTATCAGAGCGAGCCAATGACTAATCTGGGTACTGTCGGGCCCAAGATGGGGGCGACCCTCCCAGGCACGCTTGCTCCATTCCCATCCCTCCAGGAATCGAACCCCAGAGGCGATGGTTAAGGGACCAACTCCCTTACCAATTGTGTCAGCGCGCGCTGGTATATATATCTTTTTTTTAGATATGAATAGCAATATTATATATACCTCCGGTCTTTAATATAAGACCCTATGACTTTTATTTTAGTCCTAAATATAAGACTCCAATCTACTTTGTCTATCATTTATATATATTTTTAAAGTAGCCCTTCTAACAATGATAGTTCTAGTCAAACACTTGATTAGTAAGGATATTTAGGAAAGACAACACATATTTAGGACAAATAACTAACTTAATTTACTTCTTTAATCTCCTCAAATTAATCAATTGACTCTTATAATTAGAACCAGAGGTAGATGTTTACAGGATATAGATTTTGAATGATTGATGTGAGGTGTGAGGTGCTGGGAGCTTTGAGAACAGAGACTCGGGGGTAACGCCTTGTCTGGATATACTTCTTTTAAGTGTTTATAAGTATTTTCTTATGAACTAAGATCAAGTTTTTTTTGACATACTTACTTTATATTTTGTAAATAAAATATTGTGACTATATTTAATTACAACTTTAAAACTTTTTTTTCAATAGCACCCTGCACAATTTTGGTAAATGAAATACTACTTCTAATTTACAAATGAGATCTTATAATCAGAACAGAAGGTAGTAAAATGTATTCAAGTAGGAATGGTTATTACACTCTAATATAAATAGCGATGGACTGTGTTACAAAATGAGCAAGAATGAAAGACAGCAGAACCCAATGACACCAAACATTTGGAAGTAGTATTTTTACAGTTGTAAAATTATGAAATTGAACTTTAATTTCCATAAATGTAATGAAGTTAATTGGTATGGGTGTTGCTATGATGCCAACCTATGTTTGGCTGCTTCTGTCTAAGCTAGTGATTGAACTAGTTCCATTGGATGCATGTGAGGGGACTGTATATGTAGTGGTGTTAATTTGGTAGAAAGGGCAGCATGCATGTGAAATCGGTCAACCAAATCCAAAGACTCTCCATTTAAAACACGGCTCTTCCACATGCATCCACTGTGACCGAAAGCGACCTCACTATTATTCTCCTGCCCTTTCCAAGCTATGCTCTGTTCTTTCTTCTCATTTCTTGAAAGGAAAACCGCAGCATCATTCATATTTTCAAAGAAGACCTCACATTGATATGAGAGAGGAAGCAGATAGCTAGCTAGATGATCCATATGATCACTGCATCCAAAAACCGCGTTCCTACTCTTTCCTGTTCTCATAATATTCCTAATCCTAGGGACACACTAGGGCAAAATGCTACTTTTGTAGCATCCAAAAAATGATATAGAAAGTGTGTGATCTATCACATTTGACTTTCTAATCAAATACTTGATATTCCTACTCCTAGGGACACACTGGTTCCGCAAGAAACCGACGTGGTAAAGATTTACTGCGTTGATTACAGAGGACAATACTTGATATGGATACGTAGATAGATATCCTGTCTTTAATATAAGAATTAGTTAACTAATATGAGTATATCAAGAAAATTAGTAAAATTAGTTATTTGTAATAAATGAGTGTTGTCTTTCTTAAAATACTCTTGCTAATTATGTGTATTAACTAGGGTATTTTAACATATATAACTATTGTAAGAAGTACTTTGAAAAAAAATATATAAATATGATAAAAAATAAATTAAAGTTTATATTTAAAATTAAATTAAAATTAAATTAGTTTTTATATTAAAGAGTATGCATATAAAAACAAGTTCTCATAGAAACCAGGGGAGATAGATATATAACTCTGCACCGTACCGGCTGAACAGTCTTCTTATATCGACTCTATTCACGCCGGTTGTAGAAAATGTATTAGAAATAAGGCCAATCTTCACAGCTGCTGCTCCCCCTTGCCTCGATCGGTGTGCAGCAACACAATCCAATAATCTTTCACGCAAAGATCTCTAACTTTTTCTATCACTTCCTGCGGATGGATAACTATGCCTTTATATAACATTGACTGGTATTAAGGTTCAGGTGTTAAGGTTTGGTTATTGTGAAAGAGATGAACTTCTGTTTTGCACCTTGATTTCAACAACTACGTACGTACATGTAGCTCTCTCTCTCTCTCTCTCTCTATACGCATACACACATATTCATTAGTATGCATAGCTGCGTTGCGCCAGCCTGTGACAGCTAGCTGTGTGATACATAGGACACTGGACACGGTGCGGTGGCCGTCTGGTCGTGGCTAATTCAAGCCCATGAATTACCAGACTGACTATTCGATTTTTTAGTTTACTTTTTGATAATATCCTAATAACTGAATGAAGTAAATTTTAAATACTAAATTAAAACTAATTAACAAAACTAACCGAGTTAATTTGATTAACCGATTAACCGAAATATATAAATATGAAAAATTATTTTAAATTAAAAAAATATAAAACACAATTACAACCATTTAATATAAAATATTTATCATTTAATATAATTTATTATAATGATATTTATTATAGTCATATTTATTGAATATAAATATATTTTAAAGAGTTCACATATATTTACATTATATTATTATATTAATATTCATTAAATTAAATATATAATATATTTATTTTGTTTTTCGGTTATAACCCAATTTTTTTTACTATAGTAATATTAGTTTTTAATATGAAAAATAATCGATTAATTAAATAGATTAAAAAATTTATTAACCTAGTTATTTATAATAATACGTGTTGTATTCTTTAGATTATTCTTACTAACCATGTATATTAGTTAGAACTACTATTTTATAAAAATTTTAACATGTACAACTGTTATAAAGACTATTTTAAAAAACAAATAAATACAAAAAATAAAATAAATTAAAATTTTATATTTAAAATGAAATTGAATGTTAATCTCACTGATATAAAGCCTTGGACCGGAGCAGTGCTTTGTTAACTTGGAAACTTTGAGGCGTCGCTCTCTGTGAGAGTGCCTGACATGCCCGCTTTTCCAGCCGCAACCAGGGTTTTAAAAAAGCAATTTGAATTTCCTGACCCCTCCTGGAGACCTGGACTCCTGGTCTTGGGCGCCATTTATACCCACGGCCACTACTTAGTATATATATACATACATATGTGTGTGGCCTACTATTCCGATTTCTTGATACTCTCGTGTGACTAATTAATGATTGATTAATTAAAGATATATTAAGTTAGTAGTTTTTATAATACCGGTCCTAATTATAAAAATTAGTTGACTAATTTGAGAAAATTAAAGAAAGAAGTTAAGTTCGTTATTTGTAACAAATAGGTGTTGTCTTTCCTAAAAATCTTTACTAATCAAGTGTATTGGCTAAAACTAATATTGTTAGAATGAATATCTTGAAAAAATAAATAAATATGAGAGACAAGTAGATTGAGATCTGATATTTAAGATCAAAAATAAAAGTCAAACAAGGTCTTATATTAAGGACCGGAGATAGTAAATAAGTGTTGTCTTTCCTAAAAACCCCTTATAATCAAGTATATTAGCTAGAACTATTATTATTAGAAGGACTATCTTAAGAAAAAATACATAAATATGAGAGACAAAGTAGATAGGATCTTACATTTAAAACCAAAATAAAAATCAAACAAGGTCTTATATTAAGGATCGAAGGTAGTATAAGATTTTGTTTAATTCTTATTTTGATCCTAAATATAAGACTCAATCCACTTGGACTTTCATATTTATGTATTTTTTTCAAAGTAATCCTTTTAATAATAATAATCTATTCAATACACTAATTAGTAAGGAGATGTTTATGAAAGATAACACTTATTTATTACAAATAAATGATTTAACTTATTTTTTTTAACTTCTTCAAATTAGTTAACTAGTTCTTATATTTAAAACCGTCTATGAGATTTGCATGCGAAAAGTGTGACTCTTTTCACGTTTCTGTGCTACATGTGTGGCCCAAAAATAAAGGTTTTAATTTGTATATTCTTATTTTGAAATATGAAGCTCAATTCATACATTATTATTATTATTATTACAGTCTTGTTCCTAACATAGAAATATATTTATAAAGATGAATACTTCAACGTGACTGACTATATTATTCCTTCAGAATTTGATTCAAGATGGTATATATTCTATTGGAGAAGATGGTAGGAAAGTGTCATGCATATGGGATAAGAAGGAATTTCTTATCTCCAACAACACCAACAACATGAAAACGAAACAAAGGAGCGAGCCAGGCTGTGCCCAAAATTGAGAAAAAAAACAGAGAAAATAATTCTGTCCCTCTCTGGCTTTATGTACGAAATAGCAAAAGCAAAAGCAAAAGCAAAAACGATAATTAATTCCCAAAAGATCAATTTAAAAATCATATGTAAAAAAAAAATCATTTGTAATTAATTAATACATTTTTTATTATTTGCAACAGTGGAAGGTATAATTTATAATGGATATTCTTTTGGAATATAACTGCAATTATATTGGTTTTTTTTAACGTAACTATATATTCTTGTAACACACACACCATGACAATAATTTAAAATTTTGTAGGAATAAGCCATTCTATTCAAGTGACTCTCCTCTTCACTTGCTAATCAAGAGCACAAGGCCGTCAGATCGTAAGGGAACAGCATTGTATATAATTGGAGACGTCTTGTAAGGTATTATTGATGAGCTACAAATATATATCTGATGATTTATTTACATATCAAGCTAAAAAGGCACACATGTACTAAGCAGTAAGCAGCAGTAACTAGCCCATGGAATAAGATGGGGAGTGAAGAGGGGGGAAAGGGCAGTGATGATGGAGGCCAGGCTGGCACCCGAGCGATGATTGGGGAAGTGGGTCCCACGGGCCCCCCAATCGTTTTCTGGCCATCCCACATGCTGCCTGCCTCCCCTCCTTCCTCCCTCCCTCCGGTTCACCACCTTCCATGTCATCGCCTTCCACGTGTCCGAACGGGAACTCTCCTGCTCCTCCACCACCTTTCCTTGTCATTTTCTTATTATGTTTGATTTTAAATTTAATTTTAAATATAAATTTTAATTTATTTTAGTTATCATATTTATTTATTTTTTATAACAGTTATATTTATTAAAATTATTAAATACTAATTTTAATTAATATATATATTAGTAAGAGTATTTTAAATAATAACATATATGTATTATGAATAACTAATTTAACAATTTTTTAATTTTTCCAAATTTATTAACTAATTTTTATATTAAACACGTACCAACATCAACAAAGCAACTCCTTGCGAGCATCATAATGCCCCAGTACACTCTTCTACTTTTGCTGTCCGTGCTTGCTTCCCGAGCTCTCAATTTTAACCTCTAAATACAGTCTTCAGATATTATATCATTTTGTTTTTCATTTAAACGTACTAGCATAATTGAATTGAATTGCCTAAACCTGTTTCAATAACACTAAGCACCTTTAATATGAAGTTGCGAGTTCAACTGTGGTGGATCAAAGTTGCTGGCATATTGATGAAGAGAGAAGAAGAAGGGAAGGGGACTACTCATTCGGTGTGGGCAGCGGTGCAGCAGCCATGGGGGGCGTTTCGAACATGGCTGTCGGCGAGAGACGTTACGAGCCAATAATCACGTTGGTTTGCGCACTGTTATTACCAATTAGTGTCATTTAATAATATTGTATCCTTCCCTTCCCTCTTCACATTATTCTCCTCCCCCCACTTGCCCACCTTTCTCCTCCTGTTTCTTTCCTCCCCCTCCTCTTTTTTTTCCTTTCTTTTTTTTTTTGGGGTCAATTTTTATGGCTTCATACGGTTCGTGTTTCTTACGGCCTCATTACTCGCGTTTTTTGTATTGTCATGTTTCCCATTAATGGTTTTATTCTATTCCCTCTGCTTCACTGCTTAAATACTTGCCTCTTCTTTGGTGGCTGCTTCTTCTACCTCTCTCTCTCTCTCTCGTCTCTTCTCTGCTGGCCTTAGCGCCCGTTTTGTCCTCGTTATTCGCCACCATTGTCAGAGACTTTGACCGGCAACATGATAGTAAGTACGTTTCTCTTGGTTCTTTCCTTTTATTTTCTTCTGGGCATTTCACGGCGAGGTCTCTGTGTTTTAGCCGGGGGAGACTTTTCAAGGTTCAGTCTTTGATTGAATGTCAGATTCTGGAGTCATACTGTACAGCTGTGTTCCGTTCATGTTTCCCAGACAATGGAAGTTCAATTTCTATCCTTTTACTTGATGAAAGGCTTCAAGCAGATTCTATATGATCTCTGCACTCTCCCTTACTGTATATAATTTGGTCCGAGTTCCATTTCGACTGTCTTCTATTCATTTCCCATGTTACATTCAAGGCTGTAGATAGACGTGAGCTTTAATTTTTCCTTGACTTTTGCTACGACAAGTCTTGGTCTTTGCTTCTTTGCCTCTTGCTTCTTAATCTTCATATTCATCGGGAAAAGTCCAAATGAGATTGATCCTTAACACAATTGCCTTGAAGCTATTTGAAACATGGGCTCAAAGAAGATCTTCTTTACCCCTGTTTTTGTTGGCTCTCTTTCAAACTCATCTCAAACTGGGATATAAAATTCCTATGGTTGTATTTATTGTACTCATGGGATATCTTTTGAGAATCAGTGGATTTGCCCTTGTAATTTCTCTTTGTACCCTTTTTTTTTTTTTTTTCAGGTGGCGTTGCTCTTGCTGCTGGCATTGAGCGATGCCGTCAGAATCAATGGCGACGATGGTGGGGATGGGCAATGTGATTTTAAGCCAAAACTAGACCCAAGGCCACACAGTGTCTCCATTTCAGAGTTTGGTGCGGTTGGAGATGGAAAAACGCTCAACACAATAGCGTTTCAGAATGCAGTTTTCTACCTCAAGTCATTCGCTGACAAGGGTGGCGCTCAGTTATACGTTCCACCTGGGAAATGGCTCACTGCTAGCTTCAATCTTACAAGCCATCTTACTCTCTTTCTGGAGAAAGGTGCTGTCCTTATTGCATCTCAGGTACCACTTGTTGCCTCCGTGATCTTTGTTTTGAGACCCGTGGCTTTGATGCTGTCTGTTGAATGTACGGGTAGTTCACCTTCTTATTCTGGGGCTATCCAGAAGCCGTATAAAGCAGCAATACTATTTTTTTTTTTTGGGGGGGGGGGGGGAGTGTATGCCGTTAACACGTGGCAAACAAAAAATATTTTAAATCTTGCGTGTCTCGGATAAACACCTCTTTCTTTGTGTATCAGGGATGGTTTTTCTATTATAATCTAACTTTTCATGACGTAATTTTAAGTGTTGCTTTTTTGCTTGGCACTACGGGTTGATATACATTGGACATGGTACAATGCTGTTTTCGAATTAGAATAAAACTTAGAAGTTTTCCGAGGGTCTGCCATTCGAGGAATTAAAGGAATAGCTGTCGAACATTTCAAAACGACATGCTACTTTTTTGTCCGTTGAATTAGCGGTGCTTCTCTTCACTAGTCACTCTTCTTACTTTGTGTAGGATCCACATCACTGGGAAGTTGTTGAACCCTTACCTTCTTATGGGCGAGGGATTGAAGTTCCTGGAGGAAGGTATCAGAGCTTGATCAATGGGCACGAGTTACATGATGTGGTCATAACAGGTTTTTTCTGCGTCGAACTTTAAAATCTGTTTGACTGGTGGGTAAAGAATGGAAAGGGAAGGGAAGTGATCCAAAGAAAATGATGAGGGGAAAAAAATAAAGGATAAGAGATGGTTAAAATACAAATTCTCTTCCAAAATCCTTTAAACTGGGGGACATGACAATATAAAGTTGGAAGGACTTGTGAAGGATTTTGGAAGATTGGTGTTCTTTCCTTCCATAATTTGTCTCTTTTGGCAACCCTTCCTGCAACTTTCTGATTAGCCATTCGGCGGATTCTGGCATTAACCTTCTAATCTTCAACAGGTAATAATGGAACCATTGATGGCATGGGATTGGTTTGGTGGGAGTGGTTCAGCTCTCGTTCCTTGAACTACAGTCGCCCTCATCTGGTTGAACTTGTAGCATCTGATTCTGTGGTAGTTTCAAATCTTACATTCTTGAATGCCCCTGCATATGGCATCCACCCTGTTTATTGCAGGTATACTTTGAATGTTTAGGTAATTACTTGCTTTTGGTAGAAATAAAAGTATAACTGATTTGGTTTGGTGGATGTAATGCAGCAACGTAAATATTCAAAATATCTCAATCTCTGCCCCTTCAGAATCCCCTTATACTGTTGGCATAGTACCAGGTTTGTAATAACTGATTACCTTTAATTTTTGTCCACTCTAAGAGATGCCATGTTCTGAAATTCTCACTATTTTACTGTTTCCGCGCTACTAAGCAGGGATGGAGTATCGATATAGATAAATATAGGACACAACATAAACACAGACATGCATCAATTAAAAGAAGATTATGCGCACACAATGAAAAATTGTTGGCCTATATATTTCAAATTGTTCACGTATGATTAAAAAAATGGGAAATAACTTTTATTGTCTGATCAAGATAAGGATTTCTAGTCTTTCTTTTATGCCCTCCTCCTTCTTCCGGGGTGTGTCATGTTCAGCAAGTATTTGCACAGAAAGAAGAAACAAGAAAAGAAAAGAAAAGAAAATCGTGTTGACATGTACATATGCAAGTGAGGCACATGTCTGCAGTTGTCGTGCCCGAATTGACATTCAGCCTTCTTTTTCTTGGCTATACTACCCAACACTTATAAAAACGACTGAAAATAGGTATGTGTACACTAGAGATAGAAGAAGTCAAATAGCTAAGCTAACAATTGGCCACTTGATGTTTTCAGATTCTTCAGATAATGTTTGCATTGAGGATTGTACCATTACCGTGGGTTATGATGCAATTGCCCTCAAAAGTGGGTGGGATGAGTATGGCATTGCTTATGGCAGGCCCACAAAGAATGTGCACATCAGAAAGTTGCATCTCAGAGCATCTTCTGGCTCCACTCTTGCGTTTGGCAGTGACATGTCTGGTGGTATATCCAATGTTCTTGTGGAATATATTCATATTCACAACTCCAGTGGTGGAATTGAGTTTAGAACCACCCGAGGCCGAGGCGGTTACATTAAAGAAATTGTCGTTTCAGATGTAGAAATGGAGAATGTCAATACAGCTTTTGCTGCCACAGGTTATTGTGGGTCTCACCCAGACGACAAGTTTGACCCTGATGCTCTTCCATTGTTAAATCACATTACCTTGCAGAATGTGATTGGTAGAAACGTCACCATTGCTGGAAGCTTCTATGGGATTCTAGAATCACCTTTCCGTAACATATGTCTTTCCAACATAACCTTTTCCACAAACCCTGTTTCTTCCAGTTCATGGGATTGCTCAAATGTCTCTGGCTTTTCTCACTCTGTGCTACCAGAGCCCTGCCCTGATCTTCTGAACCCATCAAATTCCTCCTCTTCATCCTGCTTTTCCCTGCTGAGGATCAATGGGCAAACAGCAGTTCTCTGATTTTTTTTTTTTTTCAGCCAAGCTTATAATTTAATTTTTGCTCCATAACTTCTTCAAGAAGTTTTACTTCTATCCCTTGATTTTTCATGAGATCCCATCTTATCTTGAAGAGACCTAACTATGTGAGGATCAGTAATGGAATTATCTAATCCTCACAAAATTAGGTACGATGAAAAGATTGGAACCTTCAAAATCAAGGGATAAAATGAAATTTCTTGTCAAGTTAATGGACTGAAAAACCTACTTTTCTCATCAAAAGATTCATATACTCAAGCAGTCTTGCTTGAGCTTGCTGGGGGAAAAGGAAAAGAAAAGAAAGAAACGACCATTTGCCATTTCAGATAAGGCCATATTCTTCCCTCCAATAAGACAGTTGTCAGGATTATTCTTTTTGTTTTCCTTTTGCTTTCACCCTTTAGAATTGCATTCTTGCATGTTGCAAACCAGCATATTATTTGTACAGCTTCATATCTTCATTCATGGAGTAATGAAATTTTGGTAGTGCATTCAAAATTCCATAGCCTTTTGCATTAGTTCATTGCGATTTTACTGTAAAGCATGTAATGGATTTGGGTGATACTTAAATTAAAGGAGGCTCATTGAAGCTTAGTTTTATTCATTTTAGCTGTTAGTAGCTTGTGAAACGTGCATGAGCTGACCAAATGTCTCTGTTCCGTTACCATCTTAAATTTTTTGTCCCTCAAGAGTTCATTCTCTTGCAAAATCATGACTTGAGTAGATTTAGCTTGGATAAATAACAAAATCACTCCTAACTATAACGATGAAATTTTTGGTGGGTCACTGGGACCTTGATTCTCTGCTGCACGTGACAGAGACCACGCACGTCATTGGTAGAAGAACGTAATTAGCCAATGAAAGGTTATATACATTCCAGTCTATTCATGAATTTTTTTTTAATTAATGTAAGTATCTACTTCTAATTAAAATGACATCTCTGCATTTTTTTTTCCAGAGTAGCTATTCTACAAAAAAGTACAAGTTAACTTGAAGTATATATTATAAAATAATATATTTTCTCGCAAAATGGTAAAAATTACTTGGGATAAGTACCTAAATGGAGAGGGAGTTTTATGTTGCTTAAATAATCAAAGCATAAGTGTTGATCTTCTCTTTTACCTTCATTTTCTAAACAGAAGAAATGTTATCTGATACCGTGCAAGCGTCATGGAAACTTTCTGCTTGAGAATAAACTCAGCAGAGATTAAAAATCTCATGTTGTAAAAGAATATCAGTGAAAATCATAAATCTCTTCATCTGGATGTTCTGGTTTCTGACATAACTATGCTCAAATTTCAAGGATGGAATGGACTGTATTATACAAAACCTTTGTATCTTCTGTTATATGAAATACCATTTGTGCCCTGTACATTTAAGGAAGGAATCTGGCACTATTTCTTCGGGTACCCGCAAGCAAAGAATCTAATTCTTGGCCCCAGAATCTCACATGCACCCAAATAATTCTAACCCCCCCCCCTTCCACGTTATACATTTTTACTAATTATTGCCAGCATCGCCTCATACACGAACCTATCTGGCAGAAACAGTGTTATTGACTTCTGATAACTATCTGTCGGTGATCTAGACTATGGTACATGAATTAGGATTTTCATCACTGAACATGGATGTGAAACTTTCATTTCCATTAAGGTATTCTGCACTGTAATGTTCCGTACGGCTGTAATGCGTGAGCTTGGATGAGCTGACATATTCATATTCGGTAACGTAAGGTGAAGGCTGGTATGTGTTATAGCAGTGTGTCACATATATTGGCGTGGTTTGCTCTTGTAGAAATACTTCGCTATGGTATCTGTCCTCTTGTCCAACACATTCATGGCAAGAGGCAAATCTGGATCCGTAGTTAGGTGGATGCTGATATATCTCGTGAACCTCTTCCTCATCTTCTGATTCTGGACGACTCCGTGATTGCTGACTTGAGCTATCCTCTGTGAGTTTGGGCAATGCCGTCGCCTCAGGTGGCTGTTCAGGTGGTGGTGTTGGCTGCGGTTGCTCTTTGCGTGGTTCTACTTGCAATTTCTCAGGTGGCCCATTTTCTTGTTGCTTTGGTGTTGCATCTGGGGCTTGTTCTGGTGGTTGAGATGGAGACTGTGTTGGTTCAATATTAGGCGAGCAAATGGTGGCATTCCTCTTGGTTCTCCTGATGGCTTTGATGATATATTCTGGGTCTGCCCACCCAATGATTGTAATTTTTTGTTGATGGAGGTCGAAGTATAGATCATTTATTCCTGCAGAAAAATGAAAAGTTGTCAAATGGGTGATAGGCAGATTCATGGAAGAGTAATCATATTATGCTTACCATCAATGTTGTTAAGAGTCTTCTTTATCCTCTGCACGCACCCATTACAGTCCATCCGGGCCTGTATCTCTGTGACTCGAGGTCTCTGCATTTCATGGAATGGTTGTCAGAAGACAAGCTTCAAAATAATGAAATGAAATATGCATGGATTTTGGGTGACAAACCTGCAACCCAGGAGCCATAAGTAGAGGGTATGAAATAAGACAAACCAAGAGGTAATATTTTGTTTGAGGGCAGAGTGGATAATGGTTAAAGAATCTGCTTAAGGGACATGTATATATGTAAAATGGTGGGGAATCTTTAAAAGCCAAAAGATGTAGGACATGCAAGGAATCTCGTTTTTTCGGGTAGAGAGAATTGGTATTACTTCATTAGGGTACATGGGAGTCATTTAAGCCTAGATTGTATAGGTTGCAATTAATCTGACGCTTTTCTGGTCTCTTATAACGTATAAATACATGTAAAGTAAAAAGCCTGTTAAAAACATGTCTACAATTAATTGTAAACTTGAGAGCTGAAACTTGTATAAGATGCGTGCTTTTTGAGTTTCGAAGATCACGGCTTCATCTCATAAAGCTAGAATTTTACAATTAAAGCAACTTCCATGGATGAAGCGAGGAATGATTTGATGATGAAAAAAAGTTTCAACTTAAAACTAATCTTTTATGATGTTACGGGATTGATAATTATAATCATGAAGATAAACTGAACCTTCCTATAACTTTCAAAAGATGTTTGAATTTATCGGTGAAATTTTCCAAGTTGCTTTTTGGTGCAAGGGTGGAAAATTCCGTTATGCTTTTTCTGCGAGCCATGGTTCAAAACCACTTGTACTTTTTCACGTTGACTAACAAAATAGTCATAGACAACAAATCTCTTACCTCAAAAAAGCCGGAATGTATTCCAAGACAAAATAGTCATCCGCAACATATGTTCAACTTTTTCTTAGAACAGTGAGTTTATAGGTTATAATTAAGTTAATTTTTTTTACCGATCTGGACCAATTTTGTTAATATTAAATAACATCAAATTTTGTAAAATCAATCTACTATTTTCTAAATGTCATTAGTCTTCTTTAAATAAATACTATCCCTAATTTAATGCATTCTTAAAATTAAAATTAACAAGGGATAAAATAATTAAAAAAATTAAGCATTACATATTAATATGATAAGCCCGCATAAGTTAGATTGGGCCATACATGGAAGAGATAAGAGAACAGCAGTTATTGCGTAATCATTGCAAATCTCCCACACAATTTATTTGCACACCTCTATTTAACAATATTGAAGAATGGGTTTGACGAGTTTCTGTAAAACGAAGACAAGATCCAAGAAAAGAAAATTACTGAGAGGACATAATCATTGAATTTAAGCATAGGCTTGTGGGTTGTCATGCAGGTAAGATTCCACAACTTTGTAGATTCCAATAGTGCTTTCTCTTCCTTCTTTAACGTCTTCTTCTCTGACTTGTCCATCTCCCACTGTGTAATATTTGCTCGTCATCTTGCAGAGACAACCACCTTCACTGCTTCCTTCAAACTTCACCTCATAACCTATCGACTCAAGCTTCTCTCCCAGGGGGCCTCCTTCGATCATTGTGTATTTGCACACCAGATTTTCCTTATCAACCTCATCAATCCTGTGCTTCAGATATTTGAAAGGCCCCTCTGCAACATCGATCACAACAAAAACAAAACGATTATATATTATCACTTTCTACTCATAGATATTATATTGAATCAGATATGCTTTCATTTGTTACGAACAAACCTTGAGCGAAGTTAACTTGTTCAATGGTTCCAGGTCCTCCGTCACCTTGAAGAACGGTGACGTCTTTGACGAACTGAGGCAGGAGTTTTGGGAGGAGAGTGCTGGAATCTAGGATCAATGCTTTGACCTTGAAGAACGGTGACGTCTTTGACGAACTGAGGCAGGAGTTTTGGGAGGAGAGTGCTGGAATCTAGGATCAATGCTTTGAACAGTCGTGGTGCTGCGATTGGGCTTGAATACTCCTGTGTGAACACCGTCGCTCCCATTCTGATATATATTGATTGATTCCTTTTATATTGTTTTGATCTTTCTGCAGATTCCCAGACTCTGGCTTGTCCATGTTTTTATAGGGTGCAGAGATATGTTTCCGAGGTGGGTTTCGTGGAAATGATGGTCTCAAGGAAAACTTTGGAAATACGACTTTTGTTAGGCATAAATCAGTAAACAAGGGAATTTGTTCAAATTAAAAGACTTATGGATTTGAATATGTATTAGTTACTCTATATATTACGTTGGGATTAGCTAGGTTATGCATTTTGGTTCCACATTTAATTTGAAGGTGTTAAGGTTTATGAAAGCACACACATGGGCTGCGTCTAGGCTAGCTAAGAGAACAAGTCAGACCCACTCAACCTTACCAACCCCCTAATTATATTATACAGTCCAAGAAAGCCGCAAAAAAGTTGTCTCCTTATTCATATTCAAACCAAAATGGTCTTGATATGGATATTTTAAATGTGTGATAAATCCCAACATATATAAGCAAGTTAATTCTTATATTTTGAAAAGAACATATCCAACATCTGTTATCCGATCCCTTAATCACATAATATCAAAAGTTGTTGGGATGTCAAACGTAAATTCATCGACGTAAATAAAAATAAAGAAGTCCCCATTAATTAAAATAGAGTTAATTAGCTAGAAATAAATTAAAAGTGATAGATAACCCATAAATTTGTTACATAAAGCAAACACAAGCACGATTCAATATCATTTATAATAATAGCGAATTTCTTGTGGGGCTTTTAAATTTAACGAGAATCCAAATTATTGAAAGGGCATATTTATTTAGAGCCTTGACATTAAAACTAAGGCTAATTAAAGATGGATGAAGCCTTAATTTTGAACTGGTGATATTGGGAGGATCAGAATGAAGTCTCAAGCATATAGATCAGGATTCTGGAGAAGATAGGCTTCCACGACTTTGTAAATGTCCAGAGTCGTTTCCTTCCCTTTCTTGATCTCGTCTTCACTCATCTCATAATCTCCCTTGGTATTATACTTTATGATGATCTTGTTGTTGCTTCCCCCATCTGGTTTTGCCTCAAACTTAACTTCATAAGCAATGCTCTCGAACTTGTCCTTTAATACGTCTCCTTCGATCGTAGTGTAGCTGAACGCCAGACGCTCCTCGTTCATCTCATCAATTCTGTTCTTCACGCTTCTCACTTTCTCACCTATATATCCAATATTCTCACCACTGTTAAGTTAAAACCAAAGCAAAACTGTACGTGGCATGAGAAATTCGTAAACGATTGGAAACGAATCTCATTAATTTAATAAGCAAAGTAGTGTAGGTATATACCTTCAGCGATATGAATCTGCCTGATGCTGCCGGGGCCACCATCTCCGTGGACCACTTGAATGCTCTTCACGACCTCAGGAAGAAGCTTCGGAACAAAGTTTTCAGCGTCCACCACCAATGCTTTGAACAACCTGGGAGCTGAGATTTGAGATGAATACTCGGCTTCGTCTCTGTAAACACCCATAATTAATGCCCGAAACCACCAAACTAATCAAACCCACAAAATTTGCGTTAAGTTGCTGACAATGTGAAGCTGATATCCGCAAACCCGACTGATTTATAAGCTCTGAGATACTCTCAAGTAGAACTTCTCGTGTGTTTCTTTGTCCCGAAAGGATGTTGCGTAGGTCACGAGAAAAAACACAGACGTCCACGACGGCGTTGTTTTCGAGATTAGGTTTAAATTAAATTATTTGTTTTTCTTGGCAAGATCGAAATTGTGCGAGTGAGATGCTTGGTCGTTCATAACAAGTTTCTAGTTTTCTCCTTGTCATCTAACAAAACCACAGTTAAGGCTAGCAGGGTTGTAGTGATCAAGGCAAATTAGTGATTGTCCTCTTTCTCTTTAATTTGCTGTGTTTCTCTATAAATATTACAGTCTTATTAGAGGATCCGATTGGAACATTAAAATCACAACAAACAAAAAAATTGTGTTACAGTTATAAATGGTATTGCCATGCTTAAGCTCAAGCACGTCCGCGAAAGTGTATATATACATCTTGATCTTACGCTAAATTAAAGCATATAGATCCTGAGATGCTCCCCATATTCTTTCCTATGCGTTAAATTTATTACTGTTAATTTCAGTTCAGCTAAAAGTTATGACTTATGTATAAAACAATATTAAATTATACGCTCATATTCGGTCGTTCCATTCCATCAACGGGAAAATGACCATTAGTCATGGAGTAATTTTAAGTACAAAAAAAAACAGAGAGAGATCCTCTTCTAACATTAATTGGAGTGGAAGTTTTGTAGGTGGGCTCATATTTTATTGTAAGCCCATTAGCCCATTATGGTACAGTTTTTATTTTTTCCTTTTGAAATTTCACTGCAATTGGAAATTGATTGGTTTTTTTTTTTTTTTTTGGCTTCTCTTAATCAGAAGATAGACCATGGATGAGTCAAAGGAATACCGTTTGGATGATCAATAAGCTTATGGTGACTTCTAACCACTATCAGTTAATTAATTAAAACCATTTAATTTCCTTCCTTTTTTGGCTTTGATCCCCTAAAGGTGAAAGTCCTTACAAATTGTTTTTCTAAGAATTAAGGGAGGCATTTGATATTATTGAGCTACAAAACCCCACCATGTGAATATTATAACTAAAGTCTAAAAGTCCTCATCCACAGAGAGCGGCATTCTGTTCATTCATGGCATGCGCCTGAAGAGCTGAACTCTATAAATATAAATATAATATTTTCGGTTCTCAATATAAGACCTAATTGACTAATTTGAAGAAATTAAAAAAATTAGTTAAGTTAATTATTTGTTATAAACAAGCGTTGTTTTTCTTAGAAGATCTTTGCTAATTATGTATATTGGCTAAAATTACTATTTGATGAAACGTTTAACATGTGGAACTACTATAAGAATTACTTTGAAAAAAAAAATAAATATGAAAGACAAAGTAAATTAGGATATTATATTTAGGACCAAATTGAAAGGCAAACAAACTCTTATAATAAGAAACAAAGGGAGTATATATTAAATGGACGAAGATAATTAAATTATTATGGTGTTCCAAAAGACTCTATTATTTTCAACAAATTAGTCCATACCCTAATATTCCGTCATGCGGGTCATGTACGCAATTGTTGAAAACAACGAATGAACCCGCGCAACATGCTGTACATACACGCGCAAAGTTGAATAAAATATGAGACCGTACGTCTTATTTCATGCCAGAAGGTATTTTTATTATGTTTCCTTATATTTCATTCTTCACCAAGTGGCCATCCTCTCCTTTAATTTGCCAAAAATGCAGTTTTGGAACCCAGCAACTATATTTCTTTATAGCTTATAAAAAATCAGGAAGAAAAACAAATGGAAAAAATGGAGGGGGAAAATTAGATAATGTTATAAATATTATATTGCGTGGATATTCATAATTCTATAGTTTCTTAGGATTCCATCTCATGGTTAATGACATTATCCCTTATAACTCCCAAATTAAAGGGTTTCTAGTATTTATTCCCTATAACCTCTAGTTATATAACTACGTTGCTTAATTTTTTTTTTCTTTGTGTACTTGTAATTACTCTTTAGATTAGTCTTCAATATTGAGATCTTATAAATAAGAGATGATGTATACATATTTAAAATACTGAAGTGAATGAGAACTCATTCTTTTTTTCTCTTTCAATTTCCTCTTATTTTCTCCATCTCCTTCATCTCAATCTTTGTACTTTTCCCATTTTCATGACAGATAAACATATATGTAGTTTTAAAAACACCCATATATATAAATGTTTGTAGGTATATATCACGTATATTTAATGAAGTGAAATTGCTGTTGTTATTTAATTTGGATTTACATATTACAAAATACAAGCAAAAGTACCAAGTATAATGAACACTTCAAAACCAATAATCACTCACAACAAAATACGAAGACAAAACAGAACACTCACACACGACTGGTAAGCCTCAGAAGCCCCACAATTTTAAGGATGGGGCGAATGGGCGATGAGTAAAAACACACATAAGATTGGTTTTCAACATCATATATATGGATCCATCTCCACTTTATTATTAATGATTGCTTTAATTTGCTTCATGTAAGATTCTAGCAGAGATCGGGGTTGGCGGCGATGTAGCCCTCGAGGGACTTGAAGAGATGTGCTCCCTTCTCCTTGCCGGTCTTGAGCATCTCTTCCGGCGGCGACGCATCTCCTTTGGTGTGGTACTTGATCACCACCTTGATCACTGATCCGCCGGCGGAGCCCTCCACGATCTTGGTCTCGAACGAGATCTTCTCCACAGGCTCCATCAATATGTTGCCTTCCACTATGCTGTAGTTGTAAACATAGCTCGCCTCATCAACCACTTCCACCTTGTGCAATCCGTATCTGGGGTTCCCACCTTCGTCGACGGAGGAAACTTTGATGACGCTTCCAGGGCCGCCGGTTCCTTCGAGGAGCTCGACGTTTTTAATGTCGGGGATAACCTTGGGGAGGATGGTATGGCTGTGTTTGAGCGAAGCGTTGTAGAGTCTAGCGGGGGCCACGGCGGAGACGTGCTCCTCCTCGAAAGTGAACACACCCATGATTCTATAAAGGCACAGAGAAAGGAAGAAGAAGAGATCGAAGGAAGATGAGGATGAGGTTTGGGGAAGTGTGTGGTTTAGTGAGAAGGAGGACACGCTATTTATAGCCACCACGTCGATCACCAACCCATGGTATTATTTCTTGAGCTTTGTGTGAAAATCCAAAGGATGAAGGAATACCAGAATTATTCAAGAAAGGCGGATTTTAGACATCTACACAAGGCTAGCTACCATTCTTCTAGAAAACTATGTTGGCTTTCTGCAATAATAACAAGGTTAATCAGCAGGGGGGCACACATAGAGAGGCTCTCTTGCTCGTAAGCTAACAAATCCCTTATTATTTTTATTGTTATTGTTATTATTATTATAGGTTTAAGATTAAGATCAAAGCAGAAACAGAGGTCTATTAAATGCAATAACGTCGGTGTGTTGTGTGGTTTTATGAGGACGGAAGATGTCAGCATTTCACAAGAGTTCGTGTTTATTTGTACCTAATAGGTGGGCTCTGTATTTTGTTCTAATCCCATTATGAGTCACTTCCCGGATGGACTTTAATGATAGTCACGAGGTTCTTTTTATACACATCGCTAAAGATTAAACATTGACTAAATACTTAAAAAACCTAACTGTTGGTGCATTAAAAGCTAAAATTAATTTTTAAAAAGTAACTACAAACAGCTTTTGAACAAATTTACTTTCAGAGATATTGCAAATGGATAATCCGAAGTAATAAAAATTATCCACAAGACTTTTGGATTTTGAGAGTTTCCCATAAAAAGTTTTGCTTTCGCAAAACTTCTAAACAAACATGCCCTTGGTTGGGAGTTACAGAATTACAGGCACTTTGTAGTTCGTACGGATTACCTCGTTTCAGTTTTTACTTTTTAACCAAAGGTGTGCCCTGAATTTATGATCCTTTTGAAAGTCCATTGCCATCCAAAAACGCTTTTCCTTTTTTGCTCTTGAAAAATCCCAAGTATGAACTTTGAAGATAGACTCCTATTTTTTCCAGTTTAATTAATCAGAAAATAGACTATGGATTAGTCAAGGAATGCGGTTTGAATTTCAGTCATACGCTGGTGGCGACCTCTGAGGCTCTGACTCTCTTATAAACTTGAAAGCAGTTAAATTTGTTCGTCCAAAAATGTTGACTTGTCAGAGTTTTTTTAATGCTAACTAAGATAAATCTATAATAGTTTGCCTACCATTTTCTCATTTATGAATTATGATTTCTAAAGTTTTGTTTCTATCACCAAAAAAAGAATATGTTCAAGTATTCTCTCTTCGTTTCCCTTTTTTTTTTTTTCAAAGGGGAAATTGCAGTGTGATTTAATAGAATAATTATAAATATGAAAAAATCCCACCACAATTAAAAAAATTCTAGTGTAAACAAGTTTAGAATGACAATTATTAAATTGTCCTCTGGCGGATTAAAAAAAAATCTCTCTTTACGACCATTTTGTAATTGTCATTCTAAACCTATTTGCATCCAAATTTCTACAGACTGCAGAGTCATTTGTCCATTTGGCGAGATTTTTTCTTATTCTTTTTTTCTTGGCGAGCTTGAGATCTTCTGGATTCATTCCTGGATGAGAGGCTTTTGTGGGACCAATATCTTCATTCAACTGTAGATCTGGTTGGACCATTGCTACTTAGAGATATCAACATGATATGCCTAAGAATCAGAGGTAGAACTGTATTCAATAGAGGAATCAGATTCAGGTTCAGAGGTTCCATCTGTTGATGTTTCATCTTTATTCACATATTGGAAAGTGGCTATGGTTGCATTAGTAAATAATTGCTTGAGGTGAGTATAAAAGTCCTCCGCGTTACGCCACGTGTTTGAACCGTATGTATGTCTGTCTTAAATTAATTAAATTAAATCATTACGGCGTAACGGAGACTGCATCATTTTCCACAAAGGACTAATTTATGCTGACCATGATAAAGACAAATATTGAAAAACGAAAACCCGGGCTATCATATATTTAACTCTGATTCTAAATATAAAAATTAGTTAATTAATTTAAATAAATTAAAAAATTAATTAAGTTAGTTATTTATAATAATACGTATTATCTTTTTTAAAATATTTTTACTAATTAAATATTATTTGATAAAATATTTAATATGTACAACTATTATAAGAATTTTTTTAAAAAAAAAAAATAAATATGGAAGATAGTATAAATTGGGATCTAGGATCAAAATGAAACTCAAAGAAATTTTAATATTAAAGAGTGAAGGTGGTGTGTGTATATAAATACAAGACCATCCTATTCCATATATACCAAAAGTACTCTAACTAATTTACAAATTTAATCTTTCAATAGCAGGCCCCAAGGGTTACCTACAAACCATGACCTTGCCGTCTGAATGGATCTACATTCTACTGGTTGTCTGGCTTTTACCTCACTCATTTAAGATTTGTTTTGTTATCATATAATACCTCTTCTTTTAATATAAATCACGATTATCTATCTCACGTATGTTAAAAAATTGGTTAAAATAATTTTATTTTTAATTTATTTTTTTGTTTTTGGTCATATTGATAGTTAATGATTTTCTTTCTTTTCTTGTTGAGTTCTCACAACACGCATTTAATGATAAGTAGAGGTATTTGTGGGAAATAAAGCATATAAGTAGAGGTAATTTGAATATCAATCTTTAAAACATGAGACTGAAATTATTAACACACACCACGCACACATATATACCATGTAGCACCACAAGCACAACATTATTGGTGGGAAACGTTGATAACGGACTCTTATCTTTAATTTTTATTTTCAATGGTAATATTTCCTCAATCTTCAAAAATTATAAGTGCAAGTCATTAATCTCATTGCAACAATCTACCCTTTTCCAGTGTTAGAAGTAACTTTTAGCTAACTAAAATTACTGAATTACACATCCTACTATTGTTTGATGTCCAATAAAAAAATTATTCTTATTCATATTGCTGTTTTCCTTAATTGACCTGTAATATGTTGACCCCCAGTCGTTATGGAAATATCGTGCATTATTACAGTCAAAACATTAATGATGAAGACTATTACTTCTCCTATAGATAATGTGTGTCTGTAGAGATATATATATTTGATTCGTCGCAAATAAAACCATTACCAATAATATTCTATACCAATCTATCCTAATTGAAATTAATAATACATTGATAAAATATTGTTAATTAGCTTTTTTTTCTCCAACCGTTAATTAGCTTATTATGAAAGCGGGAAAAATATATATCGCATGATGGAATTGCTTTCATTCTTTGGATGTATACTTCTTACAAAATACAAGGTGTGAAGTATATATATGGTAAACACTTGACAACGCTGGCCAAAAAAAAAAAAGACACTTTGACAACACAGTCACTCAACAAGATTTGAAGACCAAACATAACACTCATGAACACTCACTCCCGAAAGAACCTTCCAAAGGAGGGGACGATGACCAAACAAGGTTGATTTTCCACTTCATCGATCCTTGAATTTTTTAAAACCAAATAGAATCATAACTCAGAAAGATATTATATATATAAAGATTCTAGCAGAGATCGGGGTTGGCGGCGATGTAGCCCTCGAGGGACTTGAAGAGATGTGCTCCCTTCTCCTTACCGGTCTTGACCATCTCCTCCGGCGGCGACGCATCTCCTTTGGTGTGGTACTTGATCACCACCTTGATCACTGATCCGCCGGCGGAGCCCTCCACGATCTTGGTCTCGAACGAGATCTTCTCCACAGGCTCTATCAATATGTTGCCTTCCACTATGCTGTAGTTGTACACGTAGCTCGCCTCATCAACACTTCCACCTTGTGCAATCCGTATCTGGGGTTCCCACCTTCGTCGACGGAGGACAGTTTGATGACGCTTCCAGGGCCGCCTGTTCCTTCGACAAGCTCGACGTTTTTAATGTCGGGGATAACCTTGGGAAGGATGGTGTGGCTGTGTTTGAGCAGAGCGTTGTAGAGTCTAGCGGTGGGCACGGCGGAGACGTGCTCGTCGTCGAATGTGAAGACACCCATGATTCTATAGAGGCACGGAGAGACGAAGAAGAAGGAGAGATCAGGAGAAGATGATGATGAGATTTGAGAAGTTTGTGGTTTTGTGAGAAGAGGGACATGCTATTTATCGCTACCTCGCCACCCAATGCTGCTACTTTAGCCAGAGTTCTCACTGAATTTTTTTTTTTTTTTTTTTCTGTTTTAATTGAGGTATAGTATAACAATTAATATCGTTAAGGAAAATAATGTTTTTTTTTTTTGTGGAAATATATTCCAAAGGATGCAGAAAGACTAGAACTAGTCAAGGAAGGCGGGTAAGTCTCCACGACACTGACACTCTAGAATGGGCTTGCGTTAAGGACACGGTTATTAATTAGTGCAGAAATTAATATGGGAATAAAGCAGCGCCAGTGTATCAGAAAAATACTGCTCTTTTTTTTTTTTTGCCCCCAAGTTGATAAAGGTGATGCTAATTGTTAAATTGTTTACTCTCTTTGGCTTTAATTATTGATAGCAACCTTGTAAAATGTTCAACTACTACTCTGCGTTTTCACTTTGGTTAACAGAAAAAATTATACTGAGATCTCAGAAAAGAATTATAGGTGCTATAAAATAGTCCTAAATGGACAAATGATCATTCCGAGGATTTTAGGGACACAAAGTGTAAAGGAGTTTAGAATTCTCAAGCATCAAATTGCTGGCGCAAGCCACGATGAGGAGAGAATTTTTTTTCCCCCCCAATCCGCGAGGTCAATTTTAATAATTGCATTCTAAACTTGTGTACACCTAAGTTTTTAAGGATTTCAAAGTCATTTGCCTATTATGGTAGCACTTTTTTATATTTAAAATTCTGCGGCATCTCAGTATAATTTTCCCTCTTTTTCCTACTATAATTATAATACTGCATCCTTAAATAATTGCTTGACGTGAATATTATAAGTAAAAAGTCCTCCGATCCACACACAAGTATTAAATTATTGTGGCGTACCAGAGGCTTCGTCATTTTCAACAAAGAACTAATACTTTCGTTTTAGATCTTAGAAATTGAAAAATTACATACAAGGACCTGTTTGCAAAAATTGTTGTTAAAACTCATATTATTGTTGTCAAAACCTATACTAATATTGTTATGAGTCTTTATTTGCAATTTTTCTATTTTGACGGTTGTTTTTTATGATTTTTTCTTTTTATTTTGATTAGCACACATATATTCTAGGGTCAAATGCGTCCAACACCCTGAAACATTTTTTCAAGTATGTCTAGTGCCCTAAAATATTTTGTAGTGTGTCTATTTTTTTTTAAAATTGCATTCAGTACCATAAAATATTTTGTGGTATAATTTTGGTCTTAAAGTATTAATTTTTTCAAAAATAATTATACTTTTAAAGTACTATCTCATGAGCAGTTTTGATTCCATCTTTAACTCATCAAAAAATGATTGTATATTAAATACCATAAAGTATTTTTTTCAGTATTTTTTAGAGTGGTGGATATATATAGTTTAAAAAATATTTTAAGGTGTCAGATGAACAATAAAATACTTAAAAGTACTAGATACACTTTAAAAAAATACTTCAGAGTGCTAAGCTTAATACTTTAGGTGTGCTAGATGCATTTGGTAAAACATCTCGGGGTGCTAGAGGGCAGCTTGACCTATATTCTATGGGCTTAAGCAGGATATGATTGATATATAGACGCACATAGTCAGTTGAATTAAAATACAAGATGATCTTATTCCATAGAAAAATTCAAAAGTGCTCTCTTTTTCAAAAGGAATTTTATACCAAAAGGACTCTTGATTGTATTATAATTTATAATTTACCTGGCAAAAAAATAATTTATAAATTATATTTCATCCTTCAGGGGGAGCCCCATATGCCCTTCCTCTCCTGAATTTACTTATACTATACATACACACAATACAAGCGTGCAAACAATGATGAGCTTTTTTTTTTTTGGACTGAACAATGATGAGCTTATTGAAATGGATCTATTCTGGTGGCTGTATATATATGGCTTCTACTTCACTGGATCATATAATTAAACTTGTTTTGTTATCATATAATACCTCTTTTTTTTTTAAAAAAAAAAGTCACGGTTATTTAAATTGGATTATGTAAAACTCTTATTTTCTTAATATCTTCTGTCTTATTCCCAAAAAAAAAAAAACTAGTTGACTTATTTTTTTTGTTTCAATTTTAAAAAATTTTCCACTGATAGTTAATGTTTCTCTCCCTCTCCCCCGCCCTGGTTTATTCTCAAAATAAGCATTTGATGATAAGTAAACAAAAATATAATAATAATATAGAAATGACTTATATTTGGATCTTACGACTTTTCAAGAAGTGACTTGTATTTGAGACTATTTACATGGACCCCATATAACACCACAAGCACAGCATTATTATTTGGCAACGTTAATAATCGACCCTTATTTTTAGTTTTTATTTTCGATTGTAATGTTTCCTCAATCCGTAAAATTTATAGTGCATTTCTCTCTGGCAAAAAAAAAAATATTATGAGTGCAAGTTAATAATTCCATTGCAATAATGTTCCCCTTTTTTTTTCAGTTAGAAGTAAATTTAAGCTAACTAAAATTACTAAATTACACATTCTATTGTTTTGAGGTCCAAGAGAAAAATGATTCTGATATATTTTGATGTTTCCCTAATCAATTTAATTATTAAAAAAAAATAAACCCCTGCAATTATACTTCTTTATAAGTTATTAAAAACAGAAAATGGTAAAAGTAAGGGAAAAAATTCTGTAAGCGATAAATATTGTTAAAAAAATAAGTATCACTGTCACATGTATTTAATGAAGTGAAATTGCTTACATTATTTGGGATTTATACTTACTACAAAATACAAACAAAAGTGCGAAGTCTATAATGAACACTTGACAACCAACACTCACTGCAAGATACGAAAGACCAAACAGAACACTCACTGACAAGTAATCCTCAAAAGCCCACATACAGGGAGAGGACGATGACCAAAAAAACACAAACAAGTTTTTTTTTTTGTTCCCCAATTTCGTATCGATCGATCCAACTCCATCTTATTACAAACTTAATTTGCTTCGCAAACGACTCTAGCAGAGATCGGGGTTGGCGGCAATGTAACCTTCAAGGGACTTGAAGAGATGTCCTCCCTTCTCCTTGGCGATCTTGAGCATCTCCTCCGGCGGCGACGCATCTCCTTTGGTGTGGTATTTGATCACCACCTTGATCACTGATCCGCCGGCGGAGCCCTCCACGATCTTGGTCTCGAACGAGATCTTCTCCACAGGCTCCATCAGAATGTTGCCTTCCACTATGCTGTAGTTGTACACATAGCTCGCCTCATCAACCACTTCCACCTTGTGCAATCCGTATCTGGGGTTCCCACCTTCGTCGACGGAGGAAACTTTGATGACGCTTCCAGGGCCGCCGGTTCCTTCGACGAGCTCGACGTTTTTAATGTCAGGGATAACCTTGGGAAGGATGGTGTGGCTGTGTTTGAGCAGAGCGTTGTAGAGTCTAGCGGTGGGCACGGCGGAGACGTGCTCGTCCTCGAAAGTGAACACACCCATGATTCTATAAAAAACACAGAGAGGCGAAGAAGAAGAGCTCAGTGGAAGATGACGATGAGGTTTGGAAAGTGTGTGGTTTTGTGAGAGGAAGGGCATGCTATTTATAGCCACCTCGCCGGCCCATGGTACTGCTTTAGCCGTAGTTCTCACTGAGTTTGCCTAATGCTTTTCCTTTTTTAAATTGAGGTATAGTCTAACAATTAATGTCGTTAAGGAAAATGCTTATATTTTATATGGAAAAATATTCCAAAAAGATGCAGAAAGACTAGAACTAGTCAAGGAAGGCGGGTTTAGATGTCTCCACGACGCTGCCATTCTAGAAGAGGCTTGCCATAAAGACAAGGTTAATGAAGTGTTTTATTATTATGTCACCTCATGTAATATAACACCTGCTTAATTAATTTAGAAAGATTAAATAAATAAATTAAATTACTTGTAGTTATTCATAATAAATAGGTGTTATCTTTTCTAGAATATTATATCCTTACTAATCATATGTATTAGCTAAAACAACTACTATTTAATAAAACATTTAACATGCTCAACTATTATAAGAAATATTTAAAAAAAATTAATAAATATGAGAGACAAAATGAATTAGGGTTTTAACCAAATTAAATGTCAAACAAACTTTTATATCAAAGATTGGATGCAGTATTAATTAAGTGCAGGAATTAATATGAGAATAAAACACTGCAACCGTATTTAATACTCCTCCGGTCCTAATTATAAGACCCAATTGACTTATTTGAGGAGATTAAGGAAGTAAGTTAAGTTGGTTATTTATAATAAATAAGTGTTGTTATTCCTAAAATATCTTTTGCTAATTAAGTATATTGGCTAAAACTATCATTATTAGAAGGATTATCTTGAAAAAAATGCATAAATAAAGAGAGAAAATGGATTGGGTCTTATAATTAGGACCAAATAAAAATCAAATTAGTCTTATAATAAGGACCGGAGGAGTACTATTTTGAAAGGATTATATAGTCTTTCGTCTCTTAAGTTTGCACAAATTTTAATTTTAGTTCCTTAAATTTTAAATATAGATTTTGAACCTTATCTTCAAATCGTATGGTTCAAATTTGTATTAAACTATAATGACCAATATAATAAATATAAAAAATTGAGGATCAAAACCATGATAATAAACTTAAACGACCAAAATCAAAATGAGAAAAAACTTATGGACTAAAAATTGTATTAACTCTTTGTAATACATAACTTGATAAAGGTGATGCCGTGATGCTAATTGTTAAAACATGTAAATATTTGAATGTTTTTAACATATAATGAATCAAGAAGCATAATTTTATTATTTCACTCTCCGTTTCATTCCAGTGCAGGCGGAGGGTGCATTATGATATTTGCTTGAATCTTAATTTGGCCGGAAAGGTGGCTTAGCCACATGCCTGTGTTGCGGTGAGAAAATTTCTTTTCTTCTTAGAGATTTTTAAAAACTTATATGCATATATATATATGTTATTACATTATATATGATATAATGTGAGTTTTCAACAATAGCCTGCTAAGCCCAAAGTCCAAGTCCACACTTTGACCCGAAATCACCTGTGCGGCAGGGTCCACATCCTTAATGAAATGTTGGTATACTTTTATTTTACTAATTTAAATTAATTAATGAATTCTTTATTGATTCATCAGCGCAGCTTGAAAATTGCAACCCATCGGTTGCTCTACCAGTCCCCCATAATTTATCGTCAATTGTCTACGTGAGTTATCATTATTAAACTACTAAATACTAATAATAACCGCTATACTACCAATAGTGGAGGGAGGAAGATTGGTAAGGGCCGTGACCCCAAGTTTTCTTTTAATTATTACCACATCTGGTTTTGTTTATAAAATTTCGTTTTAAGTTTATAAATGAGGTCTTATAATTAGAACTATTGATGTTATTATTCAATTCTATCGTTTACGTGATTGAATTTTGGCTATTTAAAATAAAATAAGGATATTTTATTTTATTTTAGTGATGATAATAGTCTCTAATTAAGCAGATGTTTTGACGACTATTTTAAATTTTGATATATCTTTCTTTTTCGATGGAAGAACGGAAACATTAACATAAAATTAAAGGAGAGAAAGCCACGGCAATAGAGTTCTAAACACTTGAACTGAATTCCTAGAAGGAAACTTTGAACCAAAAAAACGAAGGGATGACTAAATGCGCACAATTTGACTTCCTTCCAACACGGAATTTAATACATTATTAATAATATTATCAGATTTTTTGTATAAGAGATATTAAATGTTGGAAAATTCCAAATAGCTCACATAGCAATAACACTTGTCATAAATTATTGGGCCACAGCAGAAGGGCCCGAAAGTAAAACAAAAGCAATTAGAGAAAGAGAAGCCCAGCAACAGGCATCCCAATTTCACAAACATCACACAACCACACGAAATGAACCTAGAGATAAACACGACAAATGACAACAGACAGATATGATATATAGTGAAGATTGATCCGTGTGGTTTAACTGTAGAGCTCAGGATTTGCCAACAAGTAGGCTTCGACAGCCTTAAGCAGCCCCGAAGCTTTGTCTCTGTTAGCCTTCACGTCTTCTTCATCCACCTGAACACCGTCACCTTTGGTCACGTACTTGCTCGATCCCTTAATCACACATCCTCCATTATCAGATGCCTCTAACTTAGTCTCGTACGTATCAGATTTTTTGTATAAGAGATATTAAATGTTGGAAAATTCCAATAGCCCACATAGCATAACACTTGTCATAAATTATGGGCCACAGCAGAAGGCCCGAAAGTAAAACAAAAAAGCAATTAGAGAAAGAGAAGCCCAGCAACAGGCATCCCAATTTTACAAACATCACAACCACACGAAATGAACCTAGAGATAAACGCGACAAATGACAACAGACAGATATGATATATAGTGAAGATTGATCCGTGTGGTTTAACTGTAGAGCTCAGGATTGCCAACAAGTAGGCTTCGACAGCCTTAAGCAGCCCCGAAGCTTTGTCTCTGTTAGCCTTCACGTCTTCTTCATCCACCTGAACATCGTCACCTTTGGTCACGTACTTGCTCGATCCCTTAATCACACATCCTCCATTATCAGATGCCTCTAACTTAGTCTCGTACGTTATCTTCTCGTACTTGTCTGATAAAGCATCTCCCTCGATCACACTGTAATGTTACACCAAGCTTTCCTTGTCCCTTGCCTCCACCTTGTGCGTCACATTCTTGTATGGGCTCCATTGCAATATTTCCAAACTCTTTAAAATATTAATCTTGTCTCTTCATTAATATCTTCTAATTAACAGCTATGAAAAGATTATATAGATATATATATAAACAGACCTGGGCCAAAGTTGATTTCTTGATGGTACCAGCACCGCCATCACCTTGAAGGATTTCAGTGCTTGCGATGGCCTGAGGAACAACTTAGGGATGAGATTATCTGCGTCGAGAATGAGTGCCTGGAACAGCTACCTGGGGCAATGGCTGAGGTTGTCTCGTGCTCGAAAGTGAAAACACCCATAATTAATATTAACTACTTGATATCGAAGAACCAGACAATACGGGAAGCTAAGAACAATGGAGGAAATTATAATTCCAATGCACGCTTTTGAGTTATGTTTTTGGATATGCAGATTCATAAACAGGCCTGTGGTGGGATTTATACTGCTCACTGGCATATAAAAATCCAATACAATCGTATCAGTTAGTGATTTGTTTAGGTACCGCATTTTCCACACTCATGTTATTCAAAATCATATGTTGTCTCCTCTGCGTTGGAACTGTACTCAATTAATGCAATAAAATCAGAAATTATTATCAGAGTATTATTAGGAATTTCAATCAATCAAATAATGAAGAAATCATATAGGGGAAGATATAGTGGATAGATGTGCGTGCGTCCACGTGTATGTGTCTGAATTTTAGTTTTTTTTTCTCTCGCCATAACTGTGTGAATTTCAGTTAGACTATTGTTTTAGGGGAAAAATTCTTGGCCTCATGGTAATAAATGACTGAGGGAACTACAAAACGTAAAACAGTTCCTTTTTCTTACCTTACAAAACGTAAAAGAGTTTTTTTTTTGGCCAGAAACAAAACGTAAAAGAGTTGAAAGACGGATTAATCAACTTAAATATGAAAGAGTTATCAAATATTGATCCATAGACAAAATTAACTCATCATACAACGTAACGTTTTTTTCTTTTCGTGAAAAAATTTGGTTTCCTACTGTTAATATTTTATTATTCATTATTGAGACCAGTTTTCAAAATAATTAGGAATCAAGTAGACCAGTTTCAAAATTCACCCAAAGAAACTAATGAGACAATGAGTTGTCCGTTTGACGAAATAAATATGTAATTTAATTAATATATAAATCAATATCAATAGTATTCAATATTCATAAAGAGATCGGAATTAATTATGAATGTTTCATTATCTCAGGCTTCAGACTATATATAAAGAATAACTACTGACGTTAATCAAACTAGCTTATGCTTTAAATAAAATCCCGCATGAAACGGCCACAGTTGACTAATTAAAGGGAACTAATTAATTAAGCTTGGAAGCTTCCCACGTCTCACTTTTTCGCCTTTGTTTTTGGGCCAATAGACTTTTAGTTTCCATTCATCCTCTAGTTAATTCAACTTTACAAAAAAAGAAGAAAAAAAAACTAACAAGCTTTAGTTGAGATTATAAGTGATTTCACTCTCATAAAAAAGAGATTACAAGTTCAAGTTTAGAAGCGCACTTATTAAAATGTTTTAATTTTGAGGTTCTAGCCTAATAGAAATTAGTTTAAATTCAAAAGATTGATAAAAACTTTGGGTTTACACACACACAAAAAAAATCTTTACAAAAAAGGAAAAAACGTAACTATGGAGATACTGTTAAGTTTCGTTAACTAAATATGCAAACATTAATTGTAACCTTAAAATAAAGTGTTATTAAATGATGACATCTATTGCTAGCCAAAAAAATGATGGACATATTAAATTTAATTTTTTCAAAAAACAACAAAATATGGCATAAAACGTCATCATTATGAATTCTTTATCAATATTTAAAGTCA